ATATATATATATAGATTCGAATACATTTTGGATTCTAAAGTCACGGTTCGATTTGATTTTAGATAATGAATAATTAATTAATAACAAATTAAATATTTGTAGCCTACCGTTTAAACTACCTGACCTGCATGGTCTTTGTTTTACCCATAAACAAATCATACAGTAAATGAATAAAGGCAAGATACACACATAATTACCACCTGTCAATCACTTTTTCTGCGGGACTCGTGAATAGGCAGTGATCTGTGTCGTTATAATGGCGTCGGTAAAAAAGACGCACAACCAACAGGAACCAGCCAACAGTATCTGAGGTGTTCGCTAAAATGACTAAGTACAAGTGAGTGAAAGATTGAAGCAGTCTACTGACCATCTGACTGCCTGGACTCGCTGTCTCGAGCGCATGACTGTGTGTGCGTCTTTTTGTGAATGAGTGTGTGTGGTCACGTGATGCGTGTTTTCAGCGGTAGTGAGGAAGGAGGGCTGCTCAGAAATGCTACACGCCAGTGTGGATGTGGATCGTTGTTGTTCTAATATGGCATTTAAAAACAAAGACCTATTAGTGTAAACAGGGTCTGAGTGTTTACTTTTCGCTAGCGGATTTGCAACAGGGGCAAGGCGGGGCGGAGGATCGCGATGCGCCCATCGTCTATCGGCCCAACCCTAATACATACATAGCAGAGCTTGCAAACTGCGTTTTTTTTTTTTTTTTTTTTTGTCGACAACACGAACGTTGTCAACATAACTCACTGGATATCAAAAATAGTTTCACACCGGCAACTTTATAAAAAGAGGAGAGGGGTTAAGTTCTGGCGATGGGTCTCCTGCGTCTGCAGTTCAACAAGCACTTCAACAAGCCTGTTTTTTCACGCTTGGCTGACGTGACATGGGGGTGTGGCAGCATCGACGATTCTACTTTTTGTTTCGATAATCGAAATTGAGCATAAATTTTAATCGATTTTAAATCAAAATCGTGACACCCTTAATGTATATATATATATATATATATATATATATATATATATATATATATATATGTGTAGAGATTGTAACAAATGCAGTTTATTTATAAGGATAGTGCCTATTTCATGCCGTTTAGCCTTATAACCCTAAAATCACCAGTTTTGTCATTACTTTAGACATCCGCTAGAGAATCATAGGTAACGTTAGATTAGTAATAATTAGGTAGTAAATTAGTAATGGCTTCTGCTATACTGGCGTCAGCTGCATCATTCATGTGAATGAATGGTGGAAGAAAGTAGTTCCTCATACAAAAGGGTTTTCGAGACTCTCCGTGTTTGGTTTTCTTTTTTTATAAACACGATAATGTCGTCGAACTGTTGTATAAACGCAATATCACACTCGTAGCAGTGCGATATTGCTGTATATGCTACTTGTGCTGATATAAAGCCACATCACACATGACACATCTAGTGTGAGTGTGATGTTGCTCATATATACTATGCAGTTTTACTATGGGGTTAGGCTGTGTGTCTCTATTCCAGAATAGCTGGAATAATTTTTTTGGCGATCAGATCTCTATGAAGGCCTCACCATCTGTTGGTGGATTTGGATAAAAGTTTAAACAGAAATGGGAATTATTATGATGTTGGCAACAGAAACTTTTGCAAATAAGAAAAGTTGTTACAACTTATTTCATGAATGATTTTCATCATTAACTATGACAAAAAAAAGTTACTTGCGGTTCTGAGATGCCGGATGGCTCATTTAATCGAGCTCCATATTCATCAAAAGCAGCTTATATGAGGGTTAATTGGTTAAGCCAATTTTCTAATAACATCCTTCATCTGGAGAGGACCGCAGCAACGTCCAAGACCAAAATTGCAATGCTGTTTTGATCTTTTTCATATCCGAGAGCACGAAGCCAAATGATCATGTCAAGCAGTGCACACCATCTGTGTATCATCTCCCATCCAACCCCCAAAATGAAGATGTGACACATTTGCAAGTTCCCACATGATGATAAACATGATGATAAAATGGACAAGACAAACTAATTCAGTCAATTAGATGAGCAATATCGCACGACGTTGTGCTGTAGGTAATTACAGCCATGTTGATATAGGGCCATATCGTATGCAAATGAGGGCGATATTGCATTTATGTAACTATATAAGATTGTAAATAAAGAAGAAACGACACAGAAACCCATCTGTGTTAGAAATGATTTCCTTCTGCCACTGATTCAACTCTCAAATTGACATTTAAACAGCTGAGCAAAAGCCTACAAGTTCATAAACATCTCTTTAGGACTGGTAGCTAAGCTAAATTGAGTTTTTATGCGTAGTGTTGGGTAACAATTTAGTATAGGAACCAATTCAGTTTAGTATAGGGACCAATTCTCGCTATTAACTAATGGCTTATTGCCAGAATCTGCAGACATTTTTTTTGCTATTTTTGCACAGAAGTTTGTAAATAATATCTGCAGATATATGAATGATTTTGAGAGTATAGTAACTAAAAATGCAAAACATGTCACTTTTTAATTCACGGTTTACAATACAAATCTAATTCGAACCGCTTGTTGAGCATAAAAAGTCATTCTCTCATAAAATTTGTTTACTAAAAACAGAAAATATCCCTTTTATGAACTGTATTGTAAATAAACCATATGCACATTAGCATATTATCCAGTAATGTTACTAAAATTAACATAAAAATTAATGAATATTTATTTATGCACATTTAAGTTCAGATGGCAAACTTAGAAAAGGTTTCAACTGCTCAGATTAATGAAAAGTATAAATAATAATGATTTTGCCCAAAAAAGTCGCTGTTAACACACCACACAACACAAACAAATATGATAAGAAAATCTTTAGAACAACTAAGATAATCAGGACATTACCCAGTAATGCAGGAAGAAGATAATTGCAACCCAGGCTCATTGGAAATATGTGCCCAGGACTACATTTTTGAGAACCAAGAAATATGTAGCCTGGACTACATTTTCTTGTAGTTTTTGTTTCCACAAATGTGCGCAGTGTAAATTTTTTTACCATTTCAAATATGTTACTGAGCCACATTTTCTCATACATGTGTAGTTCCTAAGCCACCCAACCTGCTCAGAGTTGGGATCGAACCAGCAACCTTCCACATGGCAGTTGGTTGCTCTTCCAAGTAGGCTAAAGACCATTGCCTCTAGCGTCTGTCGCGAGAGCACCTATAGAGAAGTGAAGTTGTAAAATGGTGCTCAGCACTTCACTAGCTGGCCTCTGCTACACTCACTCCCCTAAACCTCACTCCCATCCGGGTCACGGCACCAATGTAGCCCTGCCGGTCCTACACCATCCAACCCGATAGTGTTTTCAAAAACCAAACTATAATAGAAAAGGTTCTACCGTGACCTCACGCTGCTTTTTTGTGCTTTGTTTTACCTGGATTCTAGAACCTTCTTTTGCCAGACTTGAAACGAACCCCAGTCTGCTTGTTTTACACACAAAATGTAGCCATGTGTACCCGAGAGCACATATTTCTCGGTTCTCAAAAAATGTACACCACGGCACATTTTCCTAATGAGCTTATGTTAAATAATTAATCTCAAAATCATCCCGAGTATCTTGTGGTCTGTGCTTGTGGTCTGTTTAATTCTGTTGTTGTTTGAAAAAAAAAACATATCCAGGACGCAGCTTTCATTCATTTGAGTGAGTTGAGTTTAACTCGACAGATTACAGAAAGTTCACCCTGTCAACTTTCAGATCGTATAATTCCCTTCATATACAACAATCAGAGGAAGCGCCACTTCAGAAGCTTCTCTGTATGTATGAAGGCACATTATATTGTTTACAAAATAATGAAATGCACAGATACATCATTTATAACAAGCTCTACTATATACAGTTGAAACCAAAAGTTTACATACACTAAAAAAAGGAACATATCCATTTAAAAATATATATATATTTGATGGTAAATCATACTAAATGTTTACTATTTTAAGTCTGTTAGGCTTACCTAAATGATTTACATTTGCTAAATGCCAGAATAATGGCAAACAATAAAAATAAAATTGTTATTAATTTCTAGACTGTCAAAACTTTACATACATTTTCTTGGTATTTTTTAGCCTTGCTTTTAAACTGTATAACTTTGGTTAAATGTATTGGGTATCCTTCCACAAGCTTCTCACAATAGTTTGAAGAAATTTTGACCCATTCCTCCTGACAGAAGATTTGTTGGCTGTCTTGCTTGCACAAGCTTTTTCAACTCTGCCCACACATTTTCTATAGGGTTAAGCTCAGGGCTTTGTGATGGCCACTCCAAAACATTCACTCTGTTGTCCTTTAAGCACATTTTAACTAATTTGGCAGTATGCTTAGGGTCATGGTCTGTTTGGAAGACCCATTTGTGGCCGAGTTTGAATTTCCTGGCTGATGTCTTGAGTTGTTGCTTCAGTATTTCTACATAATGTTCTTTCTTCATGATGCCATCTATGCTGTGAAGTGGACCAGTCCATCCTGCAGCAAAACAGCCCCACAACATGATGCTGCCACCCCCATACTTCACAGTTGGGATGGTGTTCCTAGGCTTGTAGGCTTTTCCCTTTGTCCTCCAAATGTAACACTGGTCATTATGGCCAAACAGTTCAATCTTCAATCTCAGTCTTTTTTCCAGTGTAATTTAACAAATTGTAATCTGGCTGTTTTTGTTAATTCTGATTTGTTGTTGATTTTCCCATGTTGTCACACAAGGAAGCAGTGGGTTTGCTTGTGTATGCTATTCTAGAGTTGTGCCCCAATTAACTCAAATGTTGTCAATTAGCCAATCAGAAACTTCCAAAACCGTGACACCATCATCTGAGAGGCAGAATAATCTTATTGTATGTAAACCTGACTTTCAAGAAAAGTTGGTCCCACTTTATATTAAGTGTCCTTAACTACTGTGTACTTACATCAAAAAATAAATACAATGTACTTACTTTGTTTATAATGTATTTGAGAACACTTGCTGTGCTTTTAAGTTGGGATACAGGTTGGGTTATGGACAGGTTTGGTGGCATGGGTAGGTTTAAGGGTGGGTTAAGGTGTAAGGGATGGTAAACAGTGTATTTACAAATGTAATTACAAAAGATAATTACAGATGTAATTACATAGATGTATGTAATGTATTTACACAATTAGTACATTGTATTAAACTAGTAATTTCTATTTAAGTACATATTAGTTAAGGCCACTTAATATAAAGTGGGACTGAAAAGTTATAACAATTTCTCAAAAAAATTCTCATTATTCTGTTGTTAAGCATATCAGAAACACATTTGATAATCCTAACTTACCTAAAAAGGAAAAAGTTTAGTCACATTAACATCTGACTTTTTTAAATGATTATGTGCCTTTTTATACAGTTTATGTAAACTTCTGGTTTCAACTGTACATATTAAAATAAGAAGACTACATTTAGATGTCATGCCTGCTTTAAAGTAAACAATTTTTGAACAATTCAGGTTCATGTTGCTTATTACACACACAGGGATGCAGAGCAGCACACAAACATCTTTAAAGTATAAAAAAATGAAAGGATTAAAACGTGAAAGATGATTTTTGTCTACAAAAATATTTAACACATGTACAGACTTTGGATGCATCAAAATGAAAAGCTGTTATTCATTTGATTGGGTTGAGTTTAACTTGACAGATTACAGAAAGTTCACTCTGTCAGTTCACTCCCAAGTCTTATAATTCCCTTCATTTCTGGCAATCAGAAGAAACGCCACTTCGCAGGCTGCTTTGAGCAGGGGAGGTTGAATTGAGTCTCTGATTGTAATTTGATGTTAATCTTACATCTGATGATCATGTGGGTCCCTCGCCTTCTGCTATAAATTTGTGAAATTAGCCACCGAGGCCTTGCTAATTCGTTTAGGGCGTCTGCCCCACTGTGACTTTGATGACTTGAGAAGCGCGGCCCTTTCTCTCTCTCCGCTGAAATCAAATGAGCAGAGACACAGTCCTCACTCCCTGGCATTTGTAAGAAGACTCGTTTAATGACTTGTGGTCCTCATAAATTCTGGAGTGAGGCTGGGATTCGGCGTAGATGCTGCTGTCACCGTTAATTTCTTCTGCATCTCCTGCAGGGAGTATCAATCCCGGTTCCTTTGAGAGTTGCGAGAAGGAATCAGGGCAGCAACTCGAGCCGATTATCAAATGTTCCATCCGACCCACTTTCGCATATGCACTTTTAAATAGGTGGGTACTAATTTCAGGGTCCTTTTTGATCTCTTTATGGACCAAACGACAGCGTTTATATGCACATTATTTCCTAATTAAATTCCATATTCTGTTATATTCGATTATGAAATATATAACACTGCAAAAATTAGGGGCCTATCTTACACCCATGCAGCCAGCGCAAGTATCATTTTTATATTCAATACTGTAGAAGATCTATTGGAACCCGCCTAAAGCCAAGATTCTCACAAAAATCAGTCAAGTTTGCTAAAGATAAAATCATGGTTTGGGGTCGCATTCAGTATGGGGGCGTGCGAGAGATCTGCAGAGTGGACGGCAACATCAACAGCCATGAGGTATCAAGACATTTGAGCTGCCCATTACATTACAAACCACAGGAGAGGGCAAATTCTCCAGCAGGATAGCGCTCCTTCATACTTCAGCCTCCACATCAAAGCTCCCCAAAGCAAAAAAGGTCAAGGTGCTCCAGGACTGTTCAGCCCAGTCACCAGACTTGACCATTATCGAGCATGTCTGGGTTAAGATGAAGGTGGAGACATTAAAGATGAATACAAAGAATCTTGATGAACTCTAGGAGTCCTCCAAGAACGCTTTCTTAGGACTCCAGTTGACTTTATTAATAAGTTATTTGAGTGTCAGTGACAAGACTTTTGTCCAAGCAAAGTCAGACCTGACTGTCCTAATTAAATCATTAAAAATCAAGGCATGATCACAATTTATTTAGGTAAAATAAGCGCAATCTAGAGGCCTTTCATAAAAGCCACTTCTGATGCTAAATGATCAACTAGAAGTCAAGTTATTATCTGTTGTTCCTAAAACTTGGATAGGCGACAAGACTTTTGTCAGACTCTTTCAGAGTGCACTGCTGTCTGATGATAATATGCTTTCTGCAGCCTTTCTTTTCCTCTTCACCACTCTTATTTATTAATGGTGTTTATGTCCATGGTGATTTCAAGTCTGGGATTGATTACTTACCTCTGTTGGTCTGGAAAAAAAAAACTCTCTACACTGGATACTGTATGCTACTTAGCTGAAGAGAAGAAGAAACCGGCATCGATGTTCAGCTCAAATTAATTCAATTCATCTTTATTTCTATAGCGCTTTTACAATGTCAATTGTGTCCTAGCAGCTTAACATAGAAGTTATAGTAAATTAAAACTGTGTCATTGCAGTTTTCAATGCCCTTTTTTTCCTAGCATATTCATGAAATTAACAAATGTGATGTTTGTTTAGCTTTATTAATCACCCATGTCTTATTCAGATTACTGGATTAATCTTTTTAATGCGTTTGCTATAAATTTTATAAGTCACACAGTGCCAGTGAATAATAATCAGCTATTTAAATATGGCTATAACCAGTTTGATGCCAACATAAGTGCATTAATATCACTTACACGACTTTGATTGTGATTTATTGTCACACCAACTCATACTTCATTACATCCGTTATGATGAAGTCTCTGTTAAATATTCACGACATTCAGATTTCTGCCGGTTCCTGAGCATTTACTGATTAGCAACAGTGCAGAACTGAGTACGTGAGTAAATCAGAAGCTACCTGACAGCACTCCATCTGTTTTCATTCATGTAATACCAGGCTTGCACATTCAGAAATCCTGAAAGCAAAAATAATCGCGTTGATCAAAAGGATTTGAGCGTGTCACAGTTGAATCAAAAAGGGCTCCAAACCTCTTCATTGATTTCCTTCAGAAACATAATCCAAGAGTCTAAGCGTTTAGTCCAATCAGTCGTGCAATTTTCTTGGGAATGTCAATAGATGTATACAAATCGCTCTGCTCAAATGGACATTGAAATTGCAGAATTGCAATAAGTGCTGTTGGATGCATCTGCCATGCTTTGGTTGGATAAAACAGGGCCTTTCAAATGTAGATCGAGACAGGCTAACTACATACCGCTTTCAATCTCTTTAAGCCATCGTATATTTCAACCAGAACGTCCTAAAAGTTTTTTTCTTTTTTCTTTTTAACCCTCAAGATTTCCTAAGGACAGTTTCCCTAAGGCAAAATTTTTTTGTTTTTATTATTTTTTAAATAGTTTCCTTAATTTGACCAGTCTTCCCAGAGATGGGTTGCGGCTGGAAGGGCATCCGCTGTGGCGACCCCAGATTAATAAAGGGACTAAGCCGACAAGAAAATGAATGAATGAATGAATGAATGAATTTGACCAGTTCAAAACTTGACTTCACTGTAAAAAATATCTGTTAATGAAAGGTTTCCATATTTTGCGATTCACAAGTGTTTTCCGTTTATTTTTGGTTGTGAATTGCATTATTGGAGCTTGATCTCTTGACATTTGATGCTGAAATTCAACTCTACAGTTTGACAAAGTCACTTTTATTGACCTTTAAGTAGTTTAAAGTGATAGAATGTTCAAGAAATAAAGTATATATATATATAAAAAAAGTCTAATATAAGAGGAAATGGCAGTACTGACAGTTTATTACAATGGACTTTTAATAACATACAGCATCAACCCAGACAATATAGTAATAATAATAATAATAATAATAATAATAATAATAATTCCTTACATTTTTATTAGATTAGATTAGATTCAACTTTATTGTCATTATGTACAAGTACAATGCAACGAAATGCAGTTTAGGTCTAACCAGCAGTGCAATAGCAGCAAGTGCAGGATACAGGTATAAGTTATAAACAGGGCTTGACATTAACACCTGCCAACCCGCCAAATGCGGGTAGATTTCACCTGTGGCGGGTTAGACACACTCCTCCAATAACCACTTTGGCTGGTTGAAAATAATTTTGTAATGGTCGTTTTCTTAGAGGCAGGGTTCGATAATAAAGATGGCCCAATATTCGCGAAAATGTGATCTTAGAATCAAGTAGCACGACCGACAAATATAACAGTTTTCGTGCGAGCAAATGAAAGCAGGTGAATACCTTGTGACAGGATGATGACTCTATTAAAAAGAGCATGTGTACAGTGATATTTTGCTTGTTTTGACACATTTAAAATTTGTGGCTAAAAAATAATAATTTATTTTTGGTGTGGTCAGAGATAAATTTGGTTAAACCTTAATTTTGACACCTGAAAAGTTATGTGAAATAAAAACCTAATTGCAATGCGACACATTTGCACATTCACATTGAGCAAGCTCATACACGACACTCACGAAAAGTGAAATAAATAAGGAGGCATGTGGACATAACACTAAATCAGGTAATTTTAGCATGTCAAAGTCAAATTTATGCATATAAAATATATTATCTCAATGAAAAATTGTAACTAGTGAAAATGGCTAATAATGGCTAATAATAAAAGTGGCTAATAATGTTGGAAATCTACTAGCCACAGTGGCTGGCGATAAAAAAAAGTCAATGTCAAGCCCTGGTTATAAAGTGCAGTTATAGAAAAACTATGGTGATATTTACAGATGGATGTACTATCAACATTATATACGTTGTATTAGCTATGAACAGAGATTTACAATAAATGAATGTATGTACCGGTTGCTATTAATAATGTAATGGGTCTCTTTGAATTTGAATTTTCATATCCGATAGGTGGATATATCCGATCCCTGGACCAGAACAATGCAATTTGGGTACATTGCCAGAACATAAGCATATAAGTACCTTGTGCAGAGTTGTCATAGATTTTATTTTGTTAAACCGAGTTGTGAGGGACCAAGCCAGCACGTACAGTAAGGGGCATACAAAAAAGAAGATTTTCAAAAATAATTATTTTTAATAAATTCAAAAAAGGTTCACAAAAAGTTCAAAAATAAATTAATTAAATAATTAAATCAATTGAAAGAACACTAAACTAAACAAGGAAAACAAACTGAGTTCAAACCAAACAAATCATGTCTAATCCAAAAACAGAACTCCATGAAATGACAAGACAGACCACATTTATAGCACAGGGACTAGTCCACATTAAACAAGAAGGGGGAGACAAAAACATACAATTTACAAATACAATAAACTAAGCCAAACATCTAAATACAAATCTAAATATAAGTTAAATAAATTATAAATAAAGCAAAACTAAATATAAATCTGAATAAACAAACATTGCAAATCATTATTGAACTAAACTAAACATGAGCTCTCCCTCCAAGCCATTAAGCCAATGGTATCGGCAGGAGGAACCAAAAGACGGCCTCTTGCGGCACATCGGACCTTTACTTGGGCGGACCACACCCGGAAACTCTTTTCCTCGTCGGCACTGCAGCACGGTAACTTAAACTCAAAAGAAAACTAAATTAGCAAAACATACAGTACAGATAACTGATTTTGTGTGCACCCAAAATAGTAATAAATGTACTGTGAATAATAAAGAAAGGTAATGAGAAACTGAAAAAGTGTATGCGTCTTATTTAAATCAGATATGTATGAAACGAAAATGTATAAACACAATAACTGAAATTGTGACCAATAAATAATCTTAAATGAATACGTATAACGTGTGTGTGTGTGTGTGTGTGTGTGTGTGTGTGTGTGTGTGTGTGTGTGTGTGTGTGTGCATGCCTCACTCTCAGGGTGCTTTCACACCTATGAATCGATTCAGTTGTTCCGAAACAGAGATTAAAATTGTTACATTGTTGCTCTTTGCTCTTGGAGCGGTTCGCTTTCACACTGCAAAGCTTCTAATCGGACCAAAAGAGCTAAAACAAGTCACGTGCGAGTAAACTCTCCTCACATTGGTCAGTGTCAGGGTTTATTTTGCAGCGTCCCGCTCAGCTGTCAGGAGAGGTGGTGGTTTGGTGGTGATCGACAGAGTGCGCGCGCGTGACGTGTCTGAGGAGAGATGTGGTGGGGAGGGGTGAGAAGGGTGCGCGACGATGCCTATTTGAGGACTGGGAGAGAGACGCGAGATTACCGGGAGATCAACACTCGTTTGCGGGCGTATCGGAGACTCGCGAAACTTCCCGCCCTACTCATAATTCTCTCTTCATATAGCCGTAAGCCTATTACATATCCATAAAACACTGTGATATAACCACGCTCGGATCGGATCGCTTTCTCACTGCAATCGAACCGCTCCAGGGTTCGTTTCAATCGAGCCGAGACCACCTCATTCAAGCGATCTCGGAGCGATTACTTTGGCGCGGAACAGAGCGCGATTGCCCTGTTCACATATGCCAAACGAACCGCGCTAACGAGATACGTTCCGAAACAAAAGTGTAGGTGTGAAAGCACCCTCAATGTGTGGCCACCACACTGGCCATCACACGAGTGATAGTGATATTAAAAAAAATAATAACAAAACATTAGGTTCACACTTGAGACCTTCCTGCTCAAAAATGTCCACTATTCAAAGATTAAGCAAGGGATGCTTAAGGGTTTAAATGGATTAAATGTTCCTCATAACTGAATTGGCTGAGCACAGGGTTACCACGTCTACATGCTGAGAAGCCAAGAGGCATGACAGACATATAGGGTAGGCTGATGAAGTGTAGAGCATGTCTACAAAGAGCAAAG